AAGAAAGAAGTCAGAAACCAAAGTTGTATGGTTTTTTAAGTAGCAGACGTTAAAATAATTTTTAACAACATGTGTATATTGTGTTCTGGTTTTGAGACATAACACACTTCTTAACTTTTTTTTAAGAATACGTAGGTACATATCTATTTTGACATAGTCTGAATGATTTCTTCATAGACTTTGAAACCATAGTTTACTTTTCAAATTTCGAGGTGACGCTACATTACCATTCCAATTTTCTAATTTTTTTTGCAATGCAAGGGTGATTCACTAAAATTACAATAGGATTAATTTTAAAATTTGTGGTACATTTGCCGAAGTGTTCATTAAAAAATTGAAAATATTACAATTTTTAAATATCTCCTTGTAAAATTATTTTTGAAATTTTAATAGAAGAGACTGCGTGTCTTCCCTGTTTTTTATTCTTTTTCTTTTTGTTACAACTTAGTTTTTTCAAATGGAAAACCCTATATATTTTTATATATTCTGATTCTGATTCTTATGCTTTATAACCATTGTTTATTTTCGAAATTTCGATGCGACGTTGTCAAGTTGTGCCAATTTTCTTAAAATCTTTTAGTAATGGAACAGTTCAGAAAAAAATTTCAATATGGTTATTTTTAAAATATGGGTTACAATATATAAATAAAAATACGCGGTTTATAAATAAATTTGGATTTTAATCTACAATGTTTTTTTTTATTTAAAATACAAAGTGTTATTGAAAGGTATGTACAAAAAAATTGACAGTTATTCGCGAAGTCTAAGAAGTCTGAAAAACTTATTTTGTGTTATCAAAATTATAAGGGGAAAATGAACCCTTATCTAACCTTTTTAGACGCTACTGAAGGATAAATAGGTAAAATTAATTTATTTTAGTAAATCCTAGCAACTGTAACAATAAAACTTTTGTCAAGACTAAATGTTGCTATAGAAACGAAAGATGATCTTTTTATCAGAGGCGTACAACGAATTTGGACATAAATTTTAATAATTTTTATCTCTAAAAGGAGAACACTTTTACCTGAACTTTTTTCTACTTTTAGCACTCATACTTCGAGACCAATTGCCGATTTTATCTTGTACGTATCTTTTAATAACCACGCTGTATAACAATTTTCAAATATTGATATTTCAGTTTTTTCAAATAGAACAACCTGCATTTTATTACTGCATCTTATGATATTGTTGGTTTTCTCTATTTTTTGTTAAGATTTGCTATATCTAAAGTTGATAATTTTTGAGATTTTTTACTTTTTTAAAGGACATGCCAATATATTGAAATCCTATTTGACAAAACTAAAAATATTTGAAAATTTTAAAGTTCATTTTTTTAATAGATTGTATATTAAAATTTTATATAATTGATACGCGTAACAAAATATTGCAACACAGATCTTAAAAATAACTTTATTGTGATTTTTTGCGAACCCTTGCATTGCACAAAAAATTAAAAAGTGTTAAAATAACGTGGCAATGTTGTATTGGAATTTCAAAAATAAACTAAGGTTATGAAGCCTGTGAAGAAGTGCTAATAAGGATATGTAAAAATATATAGGGACTTCTATTGAAAACAATATATATATAATAAACTAAATTGTGTGCTATACGTCGAAAACAAACCATTCTGTATAGTTCAAAATAACTTTAATGCATGCTATTGAAAGAGTCTAATATTTAATATTGACACTGACATAATAATAATAATAATAATAATAATTTAATGAGATATAGAGAACCGCGTTCTCAGTGACTCACTCTGTATATTCGGGTCCTGTTTGAAAAAATAAAATATCAATATTTGAAAATTGTAATGTTTGAATTTTTTACAATGAAATTTTAATTTTAATACATAATAATAAGAGCATCGCATTGTTTTTTGAAGAAGTCAAACCAGTATAAGCAATAGTAGAAACTGCTCGTAAAACTACAGAGACTTAAACAAAATTTTTGAGATGACGTCACCACTTTTGAAGAGGATGAGAAGATAAATTTTAACAAGTGTTTTACGAACTTCAGATTAGTATCACGGCATTTGAAATTTGCAGACAATTTTTTCTGTAACATAAAAATGTAAATTAAAAAAAAAATTGGTTTAAAATAATTTAGGCAAAACTTACTTCGTCCCTGAAGCATGGTCAAATTAATTCAGTTTGTTAGACAAATTATAAAATTTGATTGCGTCAATTTTACTTTTTTTGTGTTAACTCCAACAAATAAAAATAAAAATTGCTTGATGGACAAAATCCAAAATCTATAACGGAAAAAATTAGTGTGTAACATTATTAATATTAGCACTATTCTCAGAACTTGAGAAAAATGAAATAAAGCGTTTTTGCAGTAAAATAAAATGTTTCGTTTTTTGAGAATTTCGGTTTAGGCAATCTATGATATAATAAACCAAACTGATTGCATTAATAAGCCACAAGTGTCGATATACAGCGTGTTATTGAAAGGTACGTACAAAATAAAATCGACAATTGGTCTCGAAGCGTGGGTACTAAAAGTAAAAAAAGTTCAGGTAAAAGTGTTCTCCTTTTAGAGATAAAAATTGTTAAAATTTTTGTCCAAATTCGTTGTACGCCTCTAATAAAAGGTCATCTTTCGTTTCTACAGCAACATTAGTCTCTTATTTTTTTATGATTGTTACAGTTGCCAGGATTTACAAAAATAAATTAATTTTACCTATTTATCCTTCAGTAGCGTCTAAAAAGGTTGGACCAGGGTTAATTTTCCGCTCATAATTTTGATAACACAAAATAAGTTTTTCAGACTTCTTAGACTTTACGAAGAACTGTCAGTTTTTTTGTACGTACAATAACACCCTGTATAATATTTTCTAGATACATTTTGCTTAGGACTTAGTTAGCAACATTTTGAGATGATGTCATCAATATTTTGGAGGGTGTAAATAGTAAAATTTTTACAAGTAATTTACCAAAGCAGTTGGTAATGACTAATGACTAATGAGTTAAAATTGTATAATATTGTTGTATAATTTTGATTTTTTTTTTCAAAAATACAAATGTCAAACGTAAAAAATTAATAAATCACAAATATAGAAGGATATTATTTTATAAAATTTATGTAAAATTCACGTACTCAAATTTTTAGATTTCGTTATCAAACTGTTGCTGCGGTTGGTCAGACAAATTGTGCGTAACTTTTTACCTTCTGTACAATATTGCTAAAATACATAAATATTTTACAAGACTCAGTCCAGTAGTTTCAGAGATTGTCTGCATAAGAAAGTTGTCAAGAGAAGCCAAAAAGACGGAAAAGGAAATCTACTTTTTCATACTCTAAAAGCTATGAAACTCCGAGAAAATATGAAAATAGCCATCTATTCAACGGATCCTTACGCTCAGGAAGTTTTAGTTTAATTAAATTGATTAAATTTCTTTTAGTGCTAAACATCCTGTTTGTGAACTGTATATTTTTACTCAAGCTAAAACGCACAGAAAAATGTTGAAGAAAGCTAACCAGACAGTATAAGAATCACCTTTTTTCGTCAAAAAATATTTAAATTAGTTGCATTATTTTTTTTTTATTAAATAAACTAAATGGAAACTCTTGAGCAATGTTTAATTTTCATGGCATCCATCATAACTCATACAATACGAAAATGCATGTTTTCCATGTATTAGTCCTCTATTAGACCATGAAATTTATTTTTAAAATAATGATGTTGGCAACACCAATGTGTTCCTTGTTTAGTTTGACAGTTGCGGTCAAATGACTGTCAAATAGCTGCAATGGCGACATCATTATTTTAAAAATAAATTTCATACTCCACTAGAGGATTTGTTTCGATCATATGATAAAAAGTTTTGACAAAAAAAATTGAAAACATAAAGTGACAATTTAAATTGTAACATTTTTCCTTCAACTGTAAGAAAAAAAAAATACATTTTAATGTGTTCCAAAATTATTTGAAATATATACATGAATATAATATGTTACCTCTCTTTTCAAGCAGTTATCTTCACATATACCTCAATATGTCTCAATTAAAAGTAAAGCATAAAATATTCTAAAAAATATATTTTTTTAATTAGAGATTGTTTCACTGTTTCACGTTTTACATGTTTGTATTGTAATGTATTATGTATATTAAATCTACTGTGACGTGTACTGGTTGTGCTTAAGAGGCAAGATAACTTCGGTGTTAATAAACTGATAATCTTAATAAGATGCCGTTTCAATAATGAGAAAACAGAAAAAAACATGAATAATCCACAAGATCACAAGTCGCTACACTGTTGCTGGCTGTCGTTCCCATTTGTTCATGTTAATTTTGATCTAGATATATCTGTTTAGATGTCTACTTAATAAAATGTATCTTTTCTGGTTGTAAATTCGGTTGCCAATACAATTTACAAGTTTCCACTATCTCAATACAAAATCAGCTAGTACTTACCTTTTACGTACTGCTTCCCTGCGCAGTTCCGTTTTCGTCCTACACATCTCAAGAATTCGGTTCTTATTATTTAGTGCCGACCACCATCGAACACAATGATTGTAATGTGCTTAAATCAAAGACTTTGACATCCCAAGTTAAAATTCCATTGTCTTCCTATTAAAAAAGCGAGCGCTTTACAGTTAATTAATTGAAACAAAACCGTTTCCCATCTGCCCATTCAAGTATGAAACTTGATGCCGTGCCGGTTACTTCTTTAATAAATCTGAATTTATGATAAGTCGTTCCTTTGAGTAAGATCAGGTCGCACGCCGCTGCTATTCAAATGCACTCGCTTTGTAAGTGGAACGCGACACACTTACCACACGAGGGGGCACCGGAGGGGCACCAACTATGCGGACATGCTTCCTACATTGACGGACGTGGTGCGCAAACGAGGACAACATCCTAGAAGACTCTTCTCAGCATAAAAAAATTGCCACGATATCCCCACCACATCGACACACATCCCCACAATCAGGTAAACAAAAACGCCGGAGGATTTTTAAAAGGTTTTCATATTAAAAATAATGGTGTTCATAATACAACATGCTTTTAAACATAACAACAACAATATATAACAATATTTAATTTAAATGTCTACATGGGCTACTTAAAATTATTTGTTTACTGCACTTATTCCTAAATACATACAAAATTTATTTGTCGTCAAGCGATTGCTAAGTGTTATTTATAAATTACAATATTTATACTTCTGATTATTATCACATAATCAAACTATTTTTTTAACTTTCAACTTCCAGAACTACGTCCGGGTTGCAGTGACCAGACATAGTGACAACATCGCTGGGGTGGGGGAAGCCTAATGGCCGATCTAGGGGAGGTTGCGTAGTATATTCGCGAAACCTTAGCGTGCATAAAAGTCGTTCTGCCAACAATTAACCACGTTTACGTGGTTGAGGGTTGGCCTTTGGAGTTTTATGGTGGCTTAAGCTTCCGTGGATGTACTACTACGACTGATGCGACTTTTCAAACTTGAAATCACAATTGCTAGGTGCAAAGCAACTTTTCGTGTTAGAATACTGAGATCTATAATAACGTTGGTCAGGAAAGGATTTTTTCTTTGTATAAAGAAGGCAGAAGCAACGAGCAATAATATACAAGACAAGAGGTTCTATATAATTACAAAATTTACAATAGGATTCGTTGTAGGGGATGTCTGCCTTACAAAATAGTTTCCTAGGTACAATCAATAAAAGATTTACACGATACAATTAAATATTTTGTAAAAATACAAATACTTAATTTCTTACTTAAATATTAAGTATTTTATTTTTGTATCACAAGAAGTGTATTAAAGGAGAAACCTGAGAATTCTTAAATAATTTTTCACATCAACCAACCATGCGAATATATAAACGGAACGAGAAAATAACAAATAAAACTAACGTAAATAAATAGAGTGTGAAAAAAGACAAGGGGGGTTACACAGGAAAAGGTAGACATTATAATACGAGTTTTAATAAATAAAAAACATATACCACAAACAATCCGCAATAAATAAATAATAAAAATAGGACAAAAGGAAGCCACCAAAAAGTAAACTGTGATATTCCTATAAATCGAGTTTCGTCTACATTATGATACTACTATAATGTGGAGGAAGAATAGATTTAGGTTCGTTGTTGTTTGCACCGACTCACTAGATGAAATTGCACGTTGTCCATTTAATAGGAATATACATTTTTTAAAATATGAGGTACCTTTTTTATAGCACGTTTGGAATTAACGGCCAATCAGCAAAAATATTTGATTCTCCATGAACACAAAGTACTTAAAATTAACCGAATACCTACAAATTTCTACAAAAAAAAATCAAGTGTCCCCTCTTGTTAGCGAGGTCACCCTTTGTTACCTTATTAATATCCCTCTCGCTTGCAAGAGACACCACCTTCGATCATACGTTCCTAAATTTAGAACCGCATTTCTTAAAAAATCACGCAAAAAATAAACCAAATCAAAAACCGTGTTTGTGAACTCGAAGCTTTAGCATAGTAGCACACCTTAAGGTTAAATCGTGTACCGGCAGAGGGCATGGTAAAGTGGAACGGTGTCACGTCGTATTGTTTTTACGTCAAAACCACTCAAGTTGTGAAGCAACTCAAATCTGAAGAAATGGCAAGAACTGAAAAACCAGAGTGGTTTACTATTTTTGCTCATTGGCCCGACATATGTTCGCGAAGCCGGAGAAGTGTTGTTTTTCTTGTTCCTGAATTGCGGAGGCTCAACAAACAATCGGATGACATCAGCGTAATCGCCCCCGAAGGGTTTACGTGATGTCATGCGAGAAGGAAAAACAATACTTCTTACCTTCGCAAGCTCGAACAACACATCGCCATTTGAAAGACAAGACTCAATCGCGTCCGATCCTCTTATGTATTTGTTGATGTTTTAGTAGGTGTGCTTTCTGCCTAAAGGCCTTTGCGCAAGTGTCGCATCTAAAAGGTTTCTCCCCCGTGTGAGTCCGCAAATGCACCTTAATGTTAGATTTATTGAGGAATCCCCGATTACAGATACTACATCTATGAACCGGCTTCTCTTTACCCAGCAAACCCAGGTTTTGCTCGTTCTGAAACACCGTCGAGCTAGCCTGCTGCTGCTGCTTCTTCTGCGCCCGACTCCGCGACTTCTTAGGGGCGTTGGGGGTGTTGGTCGTGGTGGTATGCGGGTAGTTCTGGCCGAGCAAATCCGGACTCCGGATCCGGTGGTCCTGGTCTATCCCGTGGACCCCGTACGGGGGCATGAAACGACCATTCACCGTCAGTAACAAGTTGTCGGTGGTGGACACCACGTTGGCGGGCGGGCTGGAGGTGGTAATCAGGTCGCTACCGAAGTTCGTCGAACTAGGAGCCTCCTGCTTGATGGGCGGCCCGTTCTGGAGGCGGTTCTGCAGCAGCGGCATGTAACCGTGCGTAAGAAGCGTCTGCAGCGTGGACCCTCCCTGCTGGGGCTGCATCTGCTGGGGCTTGGTATACTCTGCGCTCGTCGACGGTATTACGAACTCCGATAAGCCGTCCTGCGTGATGATGAGGTTCTTCTGCTCGCTGCAGGTCTCCCCGATGAAGGCGTCGATGTCCATCCAACTGTCCCTCGACCCCGTCGGGTCTTCCCCTTCTTGGTTCGTGCTCGGTACGGTGGTGTCGGCCATCGCCGAGCCAATAATATTCGCGAAGTCTATCGAGATGTCGTACTCGGCGATCTCCGTCTTGATGTGCGTCACCGAGTCAGCGTTCGGGTGGCTGCAGTCCTCGTACATTTTTGCACTAGACACTGAGTCCGGGTTTGCACAGTCCGTGTAACTCAATTTGACCACATCGTCCACTGAATACATTGTCTTAGCACAGTCACCCGCCGAGTCCGCACTCACGTTACATGTCGAACTCGACACAATGTTCTGTTCGTTGTAACTACTATAACTATTGTTGTTCTCCTCAGGGATCCGCTGGGATATCGTGTGGTAATGGTGACCCTGGATCCCATTGATGCTAAGATTGGCGGTGTAATTCGTGAACGGGGGCAGAGGTTTCAACTCGGCTAAACTAGAGTTCGTGGGCTGGGAACTTAAGAATAGTTTGTCTAAAGCGTCGGTCTCTATTTCGTTCTCATCTTGACTAATGGGCGAATCTAGAAGGAGTTTGTCGGCCCCCAAGTTGCTCATTGAGCTGTCGAGAGTCAAGGAATGGGTGTCTATAAAATCATTTTGGAGGTTCATGTTGGAGTTCTGCCAACATGAGGAACTGAACAAAGAGTCAACTTCGTCAACGTGTGAGCCATTGCCGCTGACTGCCATATTGGGTCCACCAGATACGTTTGGATATTTCATTGTTGCCATTTGACGACGATGGCCGCGGGATGGTTGGACCTGGGTGGTCTAGTGGACGCGGCAAGGAAATTGGGGCGACCGCATGGTCCAGCTCGGATCTAGAACAAAAACAACAACACTCAGTTTACTCGTGCAAATATTCTATTCTTAAAGAAATATTTAAAAATTACAATGTCGCGTGTTTGGAAAATCTTAGTAATAAGTATTACCGCACCAGAGCAGAATTTTCACAAAATGCTGAAATCCATTTATGTTAACTTTGCAAGAGCATCATTAGTCTGTTAAGATAACAGAATCACATGTACGTAGAAGTCTATTTGCAAAAGTAGGACTCTGATTTGAGACTATTACTTTATTTGTAATTAATATTTAAATTTAATTCGATGTAACAATAATTCAAAACGATACATTCAAAATTTACAACTAATAAGTTCATGCGATAGTAAACGTTTTTCACGAACAGTGAAATGTTGATACCGTTTTTCATTTATTTATCAACAAGACAACAGTTAAAAGATAAACAAAACGAACAAACATGAACAAATGTCTTAAAATAAAGTCCAGAGTTCTGCAAACAATAAAACAATTTTCTGTTAATAACTACTTTAAACTGAGCCACTAAACTTTGCATACTTTTGTAATATTAATGTCGTGGTAGTGGCGACTACGATATTGATGATAATCATAATAATAAATACCGACTGTCAGAATTTTGGACCCTCTGGTGCCTGCTTGAAGAAGATCAATCTTGGGGTTCTTTGTGTTTTGTTTTTGACACAATTTGAAAAGATCCTGAAGTTTTTGAAAGAGTTTGAAACTATATTATGGAGTCCTAGTGTGTTTTTTTAAGAATGTGAAAGAATTTGAAGAGAGAAAATGTTTTCTTTAATCTGGTTTGATATTTTAAACCTAATTACGAAAAGTCTGAAATGATTTCAATGCTCAAGATAATCTGCCACAACATGATGTAAGCCTAAAATAATTTATAGGTATCCATGTAGCATAAAAATATGTAAAACATAGCGGTACATTACATATAGATTACATATTGCAAATAACATCTTATGCGGTGGTTATGTAACTATTGTGTGTAAATCAGTCCCAGTCAATGGCCCAAAAGAAGCTTAACAAAACTCTAGAAACATCATACATTGAAAAAGGCAAAGTATTAAATTTTATACAGATATTGTATGCAAAATCATTCAATTGGAATTTAATTACACGATCAGATGAGCCTTATTCGTGTTTGACATATCATTACAAAGAGTCAGCAACCAACAATGGTTCAATGTGGGAGTACCATCAGTAATATTTTCGAATATAACCGACTTCAGCATTTATGGAACATGCATTTTCGTTCGTTTAAACTTATTTCAGAGGACCTGTCGCCTCTAAAGTATAGGTAATCAATGCCGTATTAGCAGTACTCCAGAGGAAACAAGAAATTTCAGGCCCCTATAATCGGAAACACCTACAAACCTACATTTTTGTATTCTACGACTTGTGAAGTAGTAAAATGCAACTTTAACGAATAGTAATTTGATACAGTAAAATATCTGAGTCAAAATCAATATTTTTATTCAATAATTTTATTCGATGCTACAAGCTTAAGGCGCAAAATGTGTCAGCTCTAGGTACCAAACGCTATCGCAAATCGTCCTCAGTTCGCGGTACCACCATATTTTCCCTTGTCGGAACAGCTTTAATCTTTTAAAAACAAAGCTTGTGAAGTGGGGCACGGAATCAGTCCAGCAAACTTCACTTTCAATTCAATTAACGGTTTGTCCGCAACAGCAGCAGCAGTCGGTATTCGCTCAATCCAAAACATGACGCACTCTTGTACCGCTATAGCAGGCCGCAAAAGAGAACTATATGAGTACCGCGAGCCGCGATACCACCTGGTACTGCTCCGCTGGTGGGAGGTAGGTCCGTCTGTGCGTCTGACGGAAAGTGTGTTACCAGTACTTCTCCCACCAGCAATCAAAACAAACGACTAACGGGTAACGGTACTATTTCACTTCCACTGCTCTTGTGATGATCGCGCACGTTGTTGATGACAATCAGCGGCGGACCAGCAGGAATTTCTGTTTATTGCTGTCCACAAAAATCGTTTACTAGGAGTAATTGGGGATTTTATGGGGGCCAAACGAGGATGGTCGTCGGAGGTGTGCTTTGAACAGGACCGGAGACGGCGTTTTATGGCTTTACAAGGAGTTGTTATTATGTTGTTATTTGAGAAGGGAAAGGTCATTGGAGGCCGCAGACGAAGAGTGCGATTTTTTGAGACGGAAATGCCGAACGTTGTTCTTTTCAATAACGTGCGATGAATAGGATAGTGTAAACGATCTGCACACTTTTTCGCAACTGAATGTTTGTTTTGCTTTGGGCATCTCATTGTTTGGTAACGGTAACAAATTGAAATAAATTTTCTACTTAACTAATACTTTGTAGTTTGTTTAATGTGTTTGAGGAAAAAGACATCGTATATCAAGCAGTTGACAAGTTCTACCTTAATGAAGATTAAAAGCCTGTAGATCCACTAGAAACCGATAATTTAGTCTATTAAAACGGTGATGTTCCAGATGGTACTGGTATCCCATCGGTCGTCAGCTATTAAAAGTATGATAACATCAATATTTTTGTAAGTATGTTTATCTCCGAAATCTAGGAAGTGTGTTACGACGATTTATACAACTCACTTATCAAATTTAAGGACCCATTAAACAAGTATTGTTTTCCTTCAACAATTTAGGTAATTTCGTCACTCTACTACATACTTGGATAATATTGCAAGTACAACGCTTTATAAGTACAAAGGGACCTAGCAGCCATTTTGTGCCACACCAAGGTCAAATCAAGATTTCTGCAAACTTTATATCGATCGACACAAAAAAAATCTTATTCTGAATCAAATGTGGATCATCAGGATAAATAATAACGTGATATTTCTGAAGATAATCACAAGAAGAAAAACACTGACTATGTTTTATCAAATATTCATTATTACGAAGTAATTTCTGCAGAACAAAGAAATAATTAAACTTGCGGAAATATTGTTTGTACAGAGAACAACCTACAAATAGAGGAAAGAAACAAGCATCTGTCTTTCGCGCAAAAAGCAATGTGTGCTAGATTCACAGAAAGAATTATTGGTATTAAAAGAAATAGGTATATAATTCTGAACATCATTTGCTGTGCTGTTGAAACAAGTTTCGTAAGAAGAAGAAATGTGACATTGTTAGGAAATAAAATGGAATAAAACTTATAAAATAAAAAAAAACAGTAAAAACGAGATAAATATTCCATTAATGTACTATACTCCTGATATTTAAAGCACTCTAATGAATTTTAAACTTATTCAAGCTACAATCTAAATTTTCCCACGTAATCCAACATGTTCTGTTTAAAGGTTAGACACCTAACAAAGACACATTTTGTTAAATTGGACACCCTATATATTTCTACAGGTTTAAGTTCTTCGTGGCCTAAAGATATTTAGACAGATCTTCGCTCACAATAAATATACAATTTCAATGTCTCGTACGCCAGATATCGATTACGTGAAACAAGCTGCAAATATGGCAACCAGATGTCATAAAAATCAAGACGGATTCGTGAACCACAAGTACAGCAGATGATTAGACAAATTTTTGCTAGCGTTTTACCATCTACACGATATTCCTAATATTATAGTTAAAAGTTGATAACAATTGGTCCGGTAGTTTAGGAAATTAACCTATTGCAAACTTCCTTAGCTTACGCTTGAGAAGTAGAAAGAACAAAAATTTTTCCAAAAACAGTGAGTATGGGATCGAACTTGTCTATAAAATTATTGAAACACGTTATTTTCTGGGTGTAGGATTGTAGCACAGATCGGAGATAATATTACTGAAAAATTGGAAAATGTCTTATGGTCCTCTAAGAATGAAAATACACATTTGTTTTTAATTGTTGATTATGAACAAAAGTGGTGTATAGTGGAAATGGCGAAATAGTGTTTCCAAAAGTACTTATGGAAAGCCTCCAAACCAGGTTAGCTTCTTTTATGCAAACATACGGAAGGGAGGTCGGGGTGTAAATTATTTTAATCGTAAGCAGTTTACGGGTGACTTCCAATAAAACAGAAAGTCAGAGTTCCTAATTGACTATTTCGACTATAACATGCATATTATTTAAATTAGTTAGTAGTTTAAAAAAGGTTACCTGTACAATTGTAGAGTCGACTGCCACTTTTGCTTGCCGCGAGATTAACTACCTACATACCTCACCCAACTCTTTACAAATGAAGGAATGGGGTGGGTTAATGTCATCGCAGGTATAAAAGATAAGCTCTAACTTACTAAGTATAATTATGTAATTAACTTTTTCCACCCCTCAAAGCCACCCGCTCTTTCAAACCTGTCTACCTCCTGTCGACTTTCTAAATCTAATTTACTATTAAATCCTACTGTCCATTTGACATACACCTTGAATGACTTAAGCGGCTTAAGCCAAAGCACCCTTATAAGTCAAACTGACTATTATATGACTTAACTCATTTCACATATATAGTCGCTCACCACTTTAAGAAACTTTGACTAAAATTATAAATCATCAACAAAACATTTTTTGTTTTTATTAAACCTGATGTTTAATAAAATTCCGAATTAATGAAAAGGGCTTTGAAAATTTGAAAAAAAAAGTAAGGTAATACTTATGAATCACTTTGCGTTCGATATTCTAGTTTGTTATTACTCTTGACTATTACGAATCAGATAACATCACCAGAGTACTAAGACAAAAATGTTATGAAATAAAATAAAAACATCGAAATTATACACACATCAATTCGGTTAACAAACTGCAAAAAATTTATTCAACAAGCGAAACGAGTACTTAGTCTGAATAGTAATGTTTTTCAGAAAAATTTTTAATATTTATTTTGGTAGACATTTGTCAAAGAGGAATCAAAATTGGTTTTGTCTTAATTTGTTTAAGAATATTTTCACTTACTATCGTATCTATATTATATTTCAACGGTATTTTACTTGATATTAATATAATACATAATAATAATATAGTAATTTCGTCAATTAGTTAAATTTTCGTGAAATCGAAA